GATCAGAAGCAGCTGCTGCCTCTCTCTTTACGTTTCTCACTCTGAAATCTCAAATATATCTCTCATTCTCAACCTCTCATGGAAATCCCAGATGATTTCTCCTCCTATGTGAGTGCCCCAAATAGCCCTGCTCGATGCAGCCCTGGAAATAATTTGTTCTATAGTGTCCCGGGAAGTCCTAGGAAAAGAACAATATCAAACACTCCATATGATGCATGTTACAGTGATCATGAGTACATGACACCACCAATGACACCCTATCAAGATGCCAATTCCGATCTCGATGACTTTGAATTCGAAACCAGTCGCAGTTTCAATCTTGACGAGTTTGATAACGTGAAAAGTCAGCAGAAGGCTTCGTTGGACCGGAAACAGCAAGAACAAATTAGGCAACAAAGGCAGTGCAGGGACTCCCTTCCGATGACCATGTCATTTGCTGATGAGCTTTTCTGTGATGGAAAAGTGATGCCACTTGCACCTCCGGCACTCAAACTTCCACCACGTCTTCATCAGAAAAGGAGTGGCAGCCAGAGCCCCATGCCATCTTCCCCAAGGTCTCCCAGTTTTGTTCTGAATTTGCCATTTTCGTACAGGAGGTTGTGGAATGATGATTTTGATCCATTCACGGTGGCATTGGAGCGTGTCAGGGAGGAGAAAAAGAGAGGGAAAGAAAAGACACACGATCATAACATGGTGGGCTTGAATGACCAACAGAACAAGGAAACTGGCCAGCTAACACCAATTCACTCACCTTCTGCAAACTCTGCGGGTCAGCTGGAACCAAGGAAACAAGTTGGGCAAAGTCAAAAAAGGCTGGCTCTTCCCAAAGGACTAGAATTTGCAAGACAAGTTAGACTTATCCAAAATGGTTATAATGAGAGATTTTGTGACCTCAATATGGCAAGACCTCTCTGCAGAGAAGAAGAGACACCTAAGAATAAGATTGTTCAAGGAAGTGGAGATCAAAGGAACATAAGTGCTCCTTGTACAAAGGAAACCAAGGGGCAGAAAATCAAAGGGCTTTCACTGAGTGCTTCTTTCAGGAAAGTAGATGATGACAAGAAGAAGCCAAGAGATCAAAGTTCAGCAATATTGAGCAGAAAGCCAACATTTCTAAGGAGACTAATCTCTAAGTCTGGGGGATCAGCCCACTGCAGTGGGGAGAAAAGGGTATCTGATCAACTCACCAAGATGACATTTGTACATTTCAGGCCAAGGCTCTTACTTTGCATGGGTTATAAGGCAAGGTATGCTAAGTGAACCAGACATTGCCATATCTATCAAAGTTGTGCTAAATTTAGCTTCTAAATAGATTGTAGAACTGCCAAAAGGGATGAAAAAAATTATTATTGTGGTTTATGTATTGTTTGCTTGTGATTGTTTTACGGGAATTAATATCTCAATTAATTTGTGCAAACTTTTTTTTTTTTATATAAACAATTTTTTTAACCTCCTGTCTTTATTTAAGCAGCTACTTGTGTTAGGTTAGTTTTCATGCGCTCCCAAACATGAAGTAGACTGCAGAACTATCTTAATGATCCTATTGTTGAACACATTAAATTAACAGTTAAATGCAAATCAAAAGGGATAATGTTTTCCAAGGGAACTATAGTAAAATTATGAGGTGAGTTTCACTATGGCTTTCCAAATAATCATTAGGTTTATCTCCACAATCAAGACCTGCATTATTTTTTTCCCCTACTAATCGTGTACCTTAGAACTTCAAATTGATTTACTGAAAGCGTTATTCACTCATTAATAATTGGTAATTTTTTGTTTTTGTTACGGTACATATCCTAAACAAGGAAAAACTAGACCAGAACTAAAGGAGGCCTATAAAATAAGCAAAATGAGGTGTATAAACAGAAGAACCAAATCATCTATTAGCAACTGCTCGCAGCATGAGGGAGTGCTACCCAAAATCAGGTAGCCAATCTGTTAAGTTCCCTATAAACCTGGTTCAAGTCACAACCAACTCCTGCATAGTAGCTGTTTTGGCACTGGCTGAAGGATGTTACGCCGTTCAGAATTCACGAGAGAGGCTTTCAACAAGTATCAGAGAGGATGGCGTGTGCCTTGAGCTTGCATTATCAAAGTAACTGCTATAACTGAACCCATTTCAGTTTTCAGCTTCTTAATAGCCTTAAATATGTCCCAAGACTAACTGGAGCAGAGAAGCAAACCCCAAAACCTCTAAAGTAGGAACCTCTCCCATTTCACTTTTCAGCTTCTTAATACCCATATCTTGGGATCTAGCATCCAAAATGAATCTCGGATGAGAACTGGGATAATTGAAATAAATATATCGGTCAACATAAAGACATGGCCTAACCAAGAGATGATTTAAGGCTGATTCTAGCAAGGCCGAAATCTGATTCAAGCAAAATAAAGAATGAGTTGACAGTGCAGCCAAATGAGTACGGTGGCCTCACCAACCAATTCCAGCCACAAGCATTAGGGTGATTTCTTTGAACCCAGAAGTGACAACTTCGACCACAACCCTTAAAGACAATCCAGAAGCAACATGATTGCAAGGCCATGACGTTGAACCGCCTTTGGTCTAAACACAGAGTATACATCCAGATTCGAATTCAAATTTAGCATTGGAAGGAAAACATGCAATCTAGAAGATTAGCCGGAAGTGAACATGGAAAATCTCAATATAGAAGTAAGCATGAATTAGGCCTCACAATGGGGATTTAAGGGATTGAGATGGTTTTGGGTAACAATTTTGCTAATGATGTAATCAAGGAGAACCAATGCCAATTGCAAGGATCATCAGGTCCAATCCCTAAGATTGCAGGATTCAAGTGGTATCAGAAAAAAAAACAAAATTTCAAGCCAAATTATCCTAGGAGTAGCTCCACTTTCCTTAGTTTAAGTTCTAGCATAAGCCTTCACATTGAGCTGTATTTCCTTTCAAAGTGTTCAATTCCATCAATTTAATTTTCAGTAAGTAGTGTGTTTATTTTAATTTAGTTCATGTTTATGTTAACAGCATGTTTATCTAATTAATATCATTTTCTTTGGTTCTTTTGACATTGAAGTAGTTGAGATAAGTAGTGAAACTCTAGAATTTCATTATCATATTCGACTGATGACAATCTTTTATTTCAACCTCCGATTTCACTTCTGCACACATGGAATCTGTAGACTGTAACGGTTCCAAACTTTAGTACACATGACAAGTTTAACCTCGGCAAGTTCATGAATTCCATAACATTGGACTTGGACAAAAATAAATCTTCCTAATCTTAATGAGTAACCAGATAGGATTTTTCTAGAATGCACACAACTAACAAATGACATCCCATGTCTTGAAAAATATTTCTCATTTCAAAACATTTCTTCCCATACCTGTGGAGACTAAATAAATTTCCTTGTAGAGAAAAGCTATAGCAAGTCATTGCGTTGTATTGCCGAATTCCGTATATTTACTCAAGATAACTTTCCATTTAAAAATTTGGACCTAGCTATTTGAACTCAGTCTAAAGAGCTCCAATGAAACAATTGCTTCGCCTGTTATTCATTCATCTTCCAGACCAATTACATTGTAGCAGTTACTTTCTCTTCCTCTCCATGGAAAAACCAGTTTATGTTTCAATTCCCCTAGGTTTGCACTTCGAAATTAACGACAATGAGATTCCTCTACAAAACTCTGGGGAAAGAAACTATGTTTTCAACAACGAACAATTTGCTACTATAGTGACTACTTCTCGATCTTCATGCTCCAGTGACAATTCACCCTCTCAAAATCAACTTACGCTAGGCATGAGCCAAGTTAGTCTGAGTAAATTTGTTGCCGCGTACAGAAGAGATAAATTTATTGCAGACCTGTCACAAACTGTTCGCTTTCAAAGTAACGAGAATAGCCTTCTTTGGTTTAGGCAGCCGTCTTTCTCTTCAGGTAATTTCAATTGAATCACCCATTTTGAGGGAATTTACTTTTCAACTTATATATCAATCAGTGACTCTTGTTTTATGATTGAACAAAAACCTCTGCAAAACCAAATGAACTTTTTTTATGAAAGCAAGGTCCACCAGAATATGTTTAACAAAGATCAATGGCTTTGTTCCTTAGCAGCTTTTGAGGTTTCTCATAACCTTTGTTATGATACCTCATCTCATAGTCAACTCAAAGATCCTACGAGGCTCAGTACGATTGAACTTACAGGAAATAATGATTTTCCTCACACACCTGTAAGTCTATCTTTTCCTGGAAGGAACTTCTCCTATTTCTCTTGGAATGAACCTGATCTTTATGTGGAGAGAACCAATTTGTCTGAGTTAGGAAGCTACCAACCTAGCAATCCTATTGTCAATTCCTTAGCTGCTCAGCTGCAGAACAATGTGGGTTCTGATCCAAGCCTAACCAATGGTGTAAGTACAAGAAGGCCTTTACATAGGAGCAAACATACTCCCTACAAATGTCCTAAGTGCCCCTGTGAATTTGCATTCTCTGAAAACCTGGATGCTCATATGACAGATCACTGTAGGATAGAAGCTCAAACTAATTTGATGATAAGTTCAGACTCTGCATCTAGATGGATGAACTCTGACAGCCCCATGGTTCATTCACAATTCACCTGGAATCTAAAAGATCTAGCAGGGACAGAAGCATCATGTTCAAATTCTGATGGAGAGACTTCCAACGAGGACGAAAAAGAAGAAAGGGCTTGTGCGACTAATTTGGATACAGAGGATGCTGTTTCATCTATTATCAAGAGCATCAAGGAAGTAGCCATTTGACTTAGTAGTGATCTGTTCAAGTGTCTGGAGAAATACCTGCCATCTTCAATGTTTTAGTTTGGAAGTCTTTAGTGCCTAATAATTAAAAACCCTTTGTATGATGCTAGTGTGTCTTTTAGTTTTCCCTGAAGTTTGATGTAGTGGATTGTTTCTTTCTATAATGTTTTGAACTTTTTAGCCTCATCCTGAGTTCATAGCAAACCATGGAGAACTTAATTTTACATGAATTAAGTATAGGACCCCATACACCCTCATCCTTTCTTAATTCCTGTTTCCCTCACAATTTTCATGGCTTTCTCAGACATTTCATCAAACACCTGTCCTGCTACTAACGCAACAATAAGGCTAACTTGTGATGAGTTCTACATATTGAGATACCAGTAACAACATAAAACCCCTACAACCATGAATCAAGTAATAAGATATATACCTCAGTGAAGAAGGCCATATCTCTGTTTTTGCGTAGAAGACTGAAGAGAAGACCATCAACAAATGAAAGAAAGCAACAGACCTTTTTAGCGTCAATGAAGAATACAATGATTTATATTGCATTTATATGCAATATATATGGACCAATCGAGCTATCTTAGTAGAATGAATGAGTGAAAAAGGTTGGTATCAGATTTGATCACTCAGCAAAACCTTTTATGCTCTTCTCTCTATTCGAAATCATGATGTTACCTTTGTTAGCAGTAACCACAATTAAAGAAAGAAGAAAAATTAGGTATTAAACATAACTATCCTTACTAAGTAGTATTTGAGACATAAAGTATTTCTGTTTGGGTTTTAATACCTAAATATCCAATTTTGTTTTGAATTAGCCAAAGAGGAGGCCCAAATTCGTTAGCCCAGCTTAAAATAATCACTGAAAAGATAATAATACCCTTCTTTTTTAAAACCCTAGCCCAACTTTAAAATTTGCAAAGTAAATGACTTTTTTACCCTATAGGTTTAAAGTATACGCGATTTGAAATTTGGCTCTCAATTGGAGCTCTGATCTTTTGACATGTTTTCGTTTGATTTTCTCTTTGATTTTCTCTTTGATTTGATTTTTATGTTTTCTTCATAATTTTGCTTTTGCATGTAGAATCAAGGTCAATTTTGGCATGCGATCTGATATGTGGGATTATGAGCTCTATTGCGATCTTATTCCTCTTATTTCGACTCAATTTGTTCGTTCTTACGTGATTTTGACGTGATTTTGTGGAGCGATCTTCTTCGCATTGTGCAATTTCATCTTCTAACTTGAAATTGTAATTTTTTTGCTGTTAAGGTATGTATCCGTGTCTGCGTCCATGTCCGCGCAACATAGACTGGAACAAAGAAGTAACACTAGAATCTCATATGCAAGCCTTTCACTTTTTCCAACAGAGTAGATCTCAGGCTTTCACAGCTAGCATCCGCAATTTCCTGGTAATGTATGGATTTAGCAGCACTAAAAGGGATATAATTGTGGGAGAAGAACACATACATAATTTATTTATTTTTGTCAGCAACATCCTACTGCTGCTTTTGCTTTTGAACATTACAAGATAGTGTATTGAATTGTTAAAAGAAGCAGTAATTTACAACATCTTCCAACACTTTCTTATCCTTGCATGGTACCTGACCTGACCTAAGCATGCTAAATGAATCATAGTATGCATTTCTTACCTAAGGTTTCATTAACTATACAACCCTATACCTCCTCCTTCCCATAATCTAGTTTAAGTGAAACTCTATTCCTCAAAATATCTTCATAGAAGCAAATGCACTAATTCACACAGTACTTGATGTAGAAAATGCTTCTTCACAACTTGTTCGTTTGTTTATTTGTTTGTTTTTTCTGTATAAGCAAATAAAAGACACATTTTCATGGGAAATGTCCCATCCCATGCACCTATACGAATGAAGTCAGGTAATACAATACAAATTACAATGTCAGTTATACATGCACAATTTATTAGACATCCTTCTTTGTGTCACTAAATACTTGGAGAACTAGCTATAATATCTCATCAGTTATGAACTTATAATTATCCATCCCAATAAATAAACTCTGCAATTAAATCAAGCACTATCCTGAATAAAATTATTTGAAGGATTCCTCAATAGAAGGATATATATATATATATATATATATATATAAATAAACGATATTCTACTTTAATATACTCTAAACTACGAGGAGGGGAATTCAAATTTGGGTTGCAGAGTGGGGAGCACATATGCTTTAGTCAAGTTATGCACACTACCCTGAATCTTTAGGCAGCAAATTCTTCAATTTTAGATCAAGAAAAACTTTATAGGCAACACATATCCTCTTTTGGTTTTTCTAACTTCAAATCCTATAGCAGAAAGAAGCTTAACTTTAAAGGTATCCCATCCCATTACAAATGAACTAATTATCCATTCCATGCCTCAGGCTTGATAGCCTTATACAGAAGCATTGTTGCCTTGCCTGCCAAGACTGACCAAAATGGTCTTCAGCTCAACCTGTTCCACTCAAATTGGGTTCTTGTCTTTTAGATTTTCTATTTCATACACAGCTTATATCTTCCTTTTTATGTTAATTTCCCAGGAGCCCACAAGGTTATTCATTCTAAGGTACCAATATGACAATCAAAAACAGCATCAAAAACTTGTAAATACAGCACCATGCATGATCAGTACCTTAGCAAAACAAAATACCAGAGTCCCTTTACTAAATGAAAATTATATTATTGTAGAGCTTAAGAAATAACTGCTCTGCTACTTAACTTGGTACAAATCAAAACTGAGTTATATAATTATTAATTACTATTATAAATGAGCTCATGTTGTTCATGAGGATTTGGATTTGAGAAAGCCTGTCCAAAGATTTTGCCTCTTTATCCTTTAGTAAGTAATTAATTATTTTTGGGAATGCCAAGATTGCGTCGTTAATCTGTTCTTTCGTGTGTAGAGCAGTGTTTGATAGTTTTCCACAAAGTGTTTTTGTTATAACACATGGCCGTATAGTTCCTTCGGCAATTGTCCGTGTCTAACCTTAAAAATTAGTAGAGGCTAGACATGTCTAGGCATCCTGAGAAGCGACGAGAATTTCCAACCCAAAAAATAGTGAACAATCGTGAATTTAGAAACAGTAAAAAAATAAAAAAAATTAACACAATTGTGACGACAGTATAAGAACAGAGCAAGCAATCCAATAATAAGGACACTAGTAATTAGTGTTTAGTTTATTTAGTTCTACCAAAATCTTGGAAATCAGCTTGCACTCGAGTATATGACCTGAACA